ATTTTGCATCAACTTCACCAGGTTGATGCAAAATTACCTGCAGATTTGTATCAGTCATGGTTCATGTTGTTGCTGCTGCTGTTGTTCTTCATCCTTACAGAATTGCAACCCTGAATATCACTCTGGGACATACAGCCCTGGGACTATAAACTGCCACCAGGCTACTGATGCTGAAGGCTGCCCTTCAATGCCTGACTGACAGTGATGATTAAACATTGCCTATTAAAGGGGCCATAAAGAAGGCAGACATCCTACATGGATGAGTAGAGTGGAGTACAAACAATGGGCCAGATTTTCCTGTCTTTCAGGGGAGTCACTATCGTCTTTCATAGAAGAAAAAAATCATGCAATGAGAGTCTGACAGTTGCCTACAGGAGGTCCCCAAAAGGGTGTGGACCAGAAAAGGTAGCCTGGGCACAGAGGCCACCTCAGTGCTTTAGTGCCCGTGTTCCCACCTCCAACCAAGCAGTAGAAAGCAATTTATTTTTCCTGAAGTCTTATTGTCTGCCCTGCTCATTTGCATTATTTATTATGGAGATTAGTCTCAAAAAAGACATCTGGCCTGGCATGCCATGATATCCAGTCTCAGTCTAATTCCCCACCCTGTTCCCTAGATTTCTGAGCATTGCTGGAGAAAGTCCCTAACTTCACTGGGGTCTGCCCTGCTGCTTGGCACCCTTTAGTCATCTCCTGCTGATTCTCTATCAATTCCTCGTAGAATTCTCAGGAAATCCCAAAGGGGTCCCTTATAATCCACAACCTGCCAAGCCCTCCTGCCTTCCCTGTGGACATCCTGGACTCCTGCCTACTGAGAACATGGTCCTTGTTATGATATATCTCCAGTCCCTGCCATCGACCTCAAACAACCGGAGATGTGACATCTGTCATGGCACACTCTTCCTTGCCTCCCTCCCACTTCTGAATCTTTTTCCATCTATGCTTTCCTTTTCTCCAAAGACTGATTCAGCCTTCTTTTTCCAAGCCTTTGCTGCTGATCCCTTTCTCTCCCACTTCTTGAATTTTTCTCTCCATTTGGCCCCATCCATCTTCCATCTTGAATCTTGGAAAGAACACTTAAAATAGGATCTACCCTCTCAAAATTTTAAGTGGACAACACATTACTGTTGACTTCATGTACGATGCTGGATAGCAGATAGCTAGAGCTTATTCATCTTGCGTAACTGAAACATTATACTCATTGGTTAGTAACTCCCCATTTTCCTAATTCCCCCAGCTCCTAGAAACCACCATTTCACTCTCTAATTTTGTGAACTTAACTATTTTAGATACTTCATATAAGTGGAATTGTGGCAAATTTGTCCTTTTGTAACAGCTTGTTTCACTTAGCATAATGTCCACCAGGCTCATCCATGTATCGTATATTGCAGTTTTCTTCTTCTTCAAGGATCAGTGGTATTCATTGTGCATATACACCATATTTTGTTTACCTATTCATCTGTCGATTGTTTTCATGATTTGGCTATTGTGAATAATGCTGTAATGAACATAGGAGTACTAATAGCTCTTTAGATCCTGATTTCAGTTATTTTGGATAAACACCCAGAAGTGAATAAAATGGTATTGCTGAATCAGGTGATAGTTCTATTTTTAATTTTTTTGTGTACAAAGGTTTCAATTTTTCACATCCTTACCAACACTTATTATTTTTAGCATAGTTTTGGAGGCATTAAGTATATTGATAGTTCTAATCTATAATAATAAAAGTGTAACATGCTAATTAGACCAGACAGTAGAAAAGACCTCTGGACATCCTTCTGGATGAAGCCGCTGCAGCAGGGGCCAAAGCAGTTATGGGCGATCAGGTAGACAGGCGAGCAATTAGAGGCAATCAGGCAGGCAGGTAGAGTGGTTAGGAGTGATCAAGCAAGCAGGTAGAGGTGGTTAGGGACAATGAAACAGGCAGGCAGAGTGGTTAGGGGTGATCAGGCAAGTAGGCAGGTGAGCGGTTAGGAACCAGCAGTCCCAGATTGTGAGAGGAATATCTGACTGCCAATTTAGGCCTGATACCTGCAGAGTCCTGGATTGCAAGAGGGTACAGGCCAAGCTGAGAGACACCCCCTCCCATGCACGAATTTCATGAACTGGGTCTCTAGTAATATTAATAATAGTCTCCATCTCTTGAATATCTACTCTATGCCATCACTAGGCTAAATGTTCTACCTATGTTATCTCATCTAATCACCATAGAAACACCCATTTTACAGATGAGAAAGTATATTTTCTACAATATAAAAATGTGTGATCTAAGGATTCTGTCCTCATGAGCTCTAGTTAAGCTCTGGGAGGTTTGGGGATTAACTGGGACTTATCCTTATTGCCTAATTTTAAGACTATCTGAGTTTATGCAGCCACTAATTTTCTTTATGAAGAACCACTCTATGAAATTTACCACTGCTATTAATCAGCTCTAGTTAGGAGTCAACAGGATACCAGAGGCAGGAGATGCAGTCAAACCTGTTTCTCTGAATGTGTCTGAATCATGTCTTTTTAATTTTTGAAGTTTTGTGCACCTTTCATACCCTTGGATCACTACAGAAGGTGTAGCCTTATGTCTTAAACATAGTGGGCACTTAATACTTTCATTGAAAAATTTGTTTCCTCCTTAGGATGTAATTGAATTATTGTACATGCACAGCCATAGCATATAACCAGACAAGTTAGCCTTGCTTACATGGAAACACATCTTCCAAAAGTGCCAAAAAGAAAAATGTGCTTCCTTGACCCTCTAGAGTTCTAAAGCATTTCCAGATTCGGGAAGAGTCTGAGACCTAAGTCCTATATGATGCTGATTGCCTGAACACTTTAGAAAACTGGTTTAGGTAAGAGTTTAGATAGTTGACTGACCCTTAAATGATGTCCCACGAACTCTTCCCAGCCTCTCTCTGCTCCACGAGAAGCACAAGCCAGCAACTACAAACAGAAAGGCTACACACTCCGCATGCCTGCCTCTCCAAGGAAGAATAGGGCTTCTGAGTTCTTGTCAAGTTGGTCCCCAATCCAAACATGAGATCATCACAGTGGACTTCAGTGAATTTGCAGTGAATTTTGCCTTACAATAGGGAAGGCTCCCCTGAAAAATATCCTCTTCCCTACCCAAATATTAAGCTTCTGATACCTATTTAGATGGAAGAGTGAAAATATATAGGCATTTTAAGATAATGAATAAACCTAAACTATTATATATATTTGGATTGGAATATCAATATAAACACATAAACATGCAAATGCTTGCACATCCATGGAGAAACATGTAGGCACACATTCCTTCAGATATAAACACCACTTTTGTGACCCTCCTCAATGTGACTTACGTCAAATCCTATCACTGGAGGCCAAGGTCTCAATAGTGTTACATTTTTTAAACCTTTCCTTTTTTTGAGGCTCCCTCTGAATACGTGTGGGGCTGATATCCACACTGCTGACATTGTACTCTGGACACCACAAGTATTTTACATGTTGGGTTAAATGGCACGTTGCATTAGAACATGTTTCAATATTGCCCACCTATTTGACCCCAGTCTTGGCTACACTACCAACCCTTGGGGGTAACAAAATAGGCCACAATGGAGCTGACAACACTTTCTGATTGATACACCCTTCACCCAAGGAACCATACACTATAATTACCATGGTATTCCATGGCCTTGAAATGAGGAAATTCTAGCACAAGGAAAGTGAGCCCCTTGTCCGGTATCATGTAACAAGAGGAAGTTAGGACAAAATCTGAGAATATCTAGCATTCTGGATATTTTTCATCACTCTCAGTCACAAGCCTCGTGTGTTCAAGAGATAGAAAAAAAAAAATCTAACCCCAGCCCTTGGCAGACATCCATTTCTCATACTGATGATTTTAGTGCTTGCCTTTTTATAACACTGACAGAGAAAAGTACAAATTAATACCTGAACTGTACTTACCATTGCTATACCAGAACTTAGAATTCTAGGGAATTTTTTTAATGGAATTTCAGACAGACATTTAGAAATTTGGCTTTGTTGGCCAATTCCTAATGAGTAACCACCTCCACGTTCCTGTTCTGTGTTTTTGTAAAGCAAAGTCTTTCATTGTCCTGTAACTGTCCTTTTGAAGTTTAGTAGCGCCTCTCGAAAGGCAAGTCATTTTGGTTGTCATCTGTTTTGCATTCATCATGAGTGCTTCGATTTGTTCCCCCATCCCTTGCTGGTATAATTAGTGCTGTGCCAATGTTGAGCCTCTCACCAACCCACTCCCACCTCTGCCCAGAAGTGCTTTCAAGTTCACTGTTCAAAGACCCCTGGAGGGCATGGCAGAGATAGAACACGGTAAATATATATTTTTAGCCCTCTTACTCTTCCTACTCAAAAGATCCTTGTCCATCTAGGTACTTCTTATGACCCTGCCATCAACGAATCCTTGCCAGTTAATCCATTGGTAACTAAACTCTAGAAAGACTTCAGCAATTAAAGAGGTAATAATAACTCTTCAACATTATAGGCTAAATTGGTGACTGGTATAGTTCTCAGGGCATTATATACAGTATTTCACTTAACCCCTACAATGACTAAATCCCCTTATTACAAATGAAGCAACTGACGTTATTTGCTATTAAGTGACACAGCCAGAATTTGCATTCAGGCCATCTGGCTCCAGAATCTGTCACAGGAAGTCAGTGACAGTGAGACCCAATGGTTTCAGGAAGTCTGGAACCCAGTCCTGAGTTCCCCACTTCCATTCAATACATGACTTTGGAATTCCCTTCAGGTTCTTGGACAAAGGCTCCAGGATTGTGTCTCCATCTTTATTTTATTTTTTTTATTTTTTTCAGAGCAAGGTTTAATGCATTCACACATCACAGTTATTTTCAGAAACATAGAAAGTCCTAAGTCACACTGTAGATTTCCTCTCCATCCATGCTGAAGGCTGGGGCTGTTCCAGATGCAGCAGGTGCTGAGAAGAAAGCTGTTGGCACCACCAGTAACCAGAGGGGTCTGAGGAGGTCACTTTAGTCCTTCTTAAACTTGCCGTTGATGTAGGGCACCCAGTCCAGAATCAGCCGCCAGTCAGTGGCCCACACTAGCCCCACGGCACCCACGGTGCCCCACATGCCGGCCGTGGGGATCCAGTTCTTGGCCAGCTGGAGGTAGCACGGGCCCAGGAACTTGCTCAGCATCGCGTTGAGGTCCGCAGCTCAGGGTGACCCCAGTTGCTCCAGTCCATCTTTATTTTGACCAAACCAAGGAGCACCATTAATTTAAAAAAAAAAAAAAAAAATCATGCTTCCTTTTCCGGACTCATACAGGGCAAGCTATATTAATTAGTATTAGCCAACCACTCTCAGATCTGGGATGAAAGGCAGGAGGCAATGTATAGTGAACCACTATTAATATTATTATTATAATTATATTTTATGGCAGTTTCCCTAACCTCTTCGGCTCAACACTGGCTAATTTCTCCATTATAAAGAGTGGGTTCTTTTATTGGACTGAGTGTTTTGTGATGACTTTGGTTGAGTATTACCAGCTGGGACATAATTAAGAGCGGCAAGTCTCCAAGCGGTGCCCGTTACCTACTCCAGTGTTCGGGCAAGCAAGCAATTTAAAAGAAAACTACCACTCTCTGCAAGTGTCCAGTAGGCAACCACAGCCTCCTTCAGTCTTGAAAGGGGATTTTAAGACCAGAGCTTCCTTCCTCATGGCAGATTATGCTGAACTCCAAAGACTGCCAGTGACCAATAAGTCTAAACACAAACTGCCTCTGCCGAGAACATTCCCCTGAGGGACACGGACCCTGAGGCCCTGAAGCCCTGAGCATGCTGGCTGTGAGTTTTCACCTTGCTTGCTGTGAGCTGTTGGGTAAATAACCTCCTTGGGAGAGAAGTTTAAGTGGTCAGGCTGCCTTATAAGGGAGAAACTACCTAAAGAGCCCATGGAAAGCGCTCTCAGAAAAACAATGCAAGAGCCTGAAGACTAGGACCACAGCATCCTTCCTGCAGCTCCTGATTAGGTTGAGAAGGGCTGGCCACTCAGAGGAGAGAGAGAGAGAGAGAGAGAGAGAGAGAGAGAGAGAGAGAGAGAGAGAGAGAGAGAGAGAGAGAGAGAGAGAGAGAGAGAGAGAGAGAGAGAGAGAGAGAGAGAGAGCAGAACTTACAACACAGCTCTGGTGTCTGACAAGCTATGAGTTTATTACTCACCTTAGCTTCTCTAGCTAAGCCTCTCTGATGGGAAATGGGAATGATAAATAATTCCTACGTGCTAGGGCTGTTGGAATGATTAAGTGAGAAAACACCGGTAAAGCACAGTGCTCAGTGATCAGGGTGGCCACCAAGTCTAGAAACATAGAAAACGACGCCAGTGGTTATTGAGCTTAATTTCCTTACATGATAAAACAATAGCTACACTTCCAGACCTGGTGGCCACCTTATGCGTTAGCTGATGTTATTATTGGACAAAGCGCACTATGCTCTGTGTTAAGAGACACAGAAAGACCCCTTTGGCCCAAATATCGCATCATCCCCCAGTGCCTAGCATTCCCATGGGTGCTCGGTGTGAGGTTTAAGGTGTTAACGGTTTCTTCTACATGCAAAGCTCCACAAAGAAGCCTCCTCTCCCCCATCAACCTCTAGTTTTTAAATGGAAGGCCACAGTTCGTCCCTCCACGCACGGCAGTCCATCCTGACAGTGACAATCTCATCAGCCCTGGTGTGCTTTCTGCACAGTGGCAAAGAAGCTCCATCGTCACGGGGAACCGATCCCAGACATGGAAAATGACAACCCTCCCCTCCCTTCACTTAGCCTAACATAAGCTATGGAGTGTTGAGTGTTCCATTTTATTTTATTACTTAAGCCTTCTTTAAACAACCTCCAGAGATGCCAGCCTGTGAGGCCTTGCCTACACTAGAGCTCTCAGCAGGGTGGTATCCAACAGGAAGCTGAAGCCATGTTAATTACAGGGCCAAAAGGTTGGCTGAGGGAGGCATGGGGCTTCTGTAGGAGACATTCCATATTTCACGTGGACGAGCTTGATCCTTTAAGCTCTGAAAACACCCAGAGGGCAAACTGTCAGCACCATGCACAAGAATTTTGCCCTGAACAAAATGACCTTTGAGTTCTTAACTGGTTTCATATTCTTTAGGCCTCTGCATACATATTCCTCCTCGGTCACTCTCCAACATCTTAAATGCATTTATTTGCTGGTAGGGTTAGCCCTTTCTGGCCAACAACCACTGATTAACATCTAGTCTGCAAACCGTGTAGAAATGTAATCCTTAACAAAATGGGGAAGTTTGGAGCAAGCCAACACATTGTATTCATTTGCAAAATTTCAGCCCATCCTGAGCATCCTTTTCACTAAACTACTGCTCTGTCTTCAGTGAAAATCCACTGAAACTCTAGAATCAAGCTGGGCCTTTTTCTTGTCACATCGTCACAAACATTAAGTTCAGTGGCTAGGGGTACAAAGCATGGTTCTAAAACAGGGACTAAAGCATCCACTGACAGTAATGGGACTTTTTAAAGATATGAAATTGAGGTGAAATCTCCCATTCAGAATATCTTCATCTAGAAAGCAAACATCTTTTCCTCAGCAGCATTTCTTTTAAGTTTAGGACTGATGTGGCAGGCTTTTCTATTTTTCACCGCTAATGCTGAGAACAGACCCACCAGCCCTCCGCAGACTAGGACAAGCCCCTGGGGACAGGGCTCTCTTTGGATAATGCAGGTATGTCCCTGTAGGCTTCAGTTTCCCAGGTCGTGACAGAGAGAAGACACAGGCCAGCAGGGCACCTTAGAGGACCGCGAGGATGGAAAAAGTGGATTGACACATAACTCTTTCTTTCCTCCTCTCCTTTCACCTTTGTCCAGCCAGCTGGCTACGAGGGTGGACATTCCGCCAGCTCTTCTATCTGTGGTAATGGAAAGCAGAGACACCTAATCCTCAAACTTCATCTTAGACATGCTGTAGTTGGAAACCTCTACCTGCATCGGAGCTGCTGGCGATTAGTAAAGAGGGCCGTACATGCTCCTGCCTTCCCTTGGAGAGGATGTGCTGAGGGGCCGAGGAGGGGGCTGGATCTGCAATCTGTGAGGAGAGGTTGCACGTGGGGCCTGTCGAATCCACAAACTGGAGAGTCAGCCTCTGGGGGAAGTGGGGTGTGGAACGCCAGCCAGAGCAGCAGCACAGTGAATTCAGCTCCAAGCTCCATCCCTTCACGCCACCACCAATCACGTTTAGGGAGGCCCAGTGGCAGCTCCAGGCCCCTGATCCAGTGAGGAAGGCATGGCCCTCCTGTCATCTCTTCTATAAGCATAGAACCTGCTCAACCAGGGAGCCAGATCCGAGTTTACCATTTAATTGTTGCCAGGCACATCATGTCACTGCAAAGGGATTGTAGGCCTCTTTCAGGGAGGGTTGACTTCACACATAGTCAGATTAGATACTCACTTATTTGGTATAATATACTGGGAGCTGAGAGAAGGCCAGTTCCTACCCATGTGTTTCCTGCTCCTCAACCACTAAAGGCTCTGAAATTCCATGCTATCAAACTTGCATGCCAGTGAAATGCTGTCATGGAAACGCCCTCACTCCCACACAATCAAGAAGAGCAGAGTAACAAGGGTATGCACCATTTTATTATACTCCATCACTACAGAAAGGTCCCCATAGCAAGAAAACACAGAAAGAGAGCTTCCTCCCTGCCCATCTTATCAACATGTCTCAATAAATGCATCTTTGATGAACAACATCACACTCCCACCTCACCATGGGGTCCAAAGACCCCACATCACCCTGACAGGTCAGGAGTCATGTATAAAACTGCCCCAAGTTTAAGAAAAGAATGTCTTCATTTCCTTACTTCTTTACCTTCCTGTCAGAAGAGACCTGCACAGACAGTGAGGTCATTATCAGTTGATTAATGTCTGATGCAAACAAGGACAAGATCACGGGCCCATCTCTAGTTGGGGCTCATAAACTATGCAGAGTAGAAAACCTCCCCAGCTTCCCAACACACTGCTCACCCCAAAGAGGAAGGGAAGAGGATCCTTCCCTCTACTGTCACCTCTAAATCGTATATTTCTCTGGGGGAAGGGGGGGGCGGGGGGGTGACTATTATTTTTTTACCAAAGAGGAGCTGGAGTTATGAGGATGGAAGCAAGAGGCTGAAGCAATACAATGAAAGGACCATGAGCCAAGGAATGCAGGAGGCCTCTGGAAGCCAACAAAAGCAGAAAATATTCTCCTCCAGAGCTTCTGGAAGCAACCACACCTGCCACACCTTGACCTTGGCTCACTGACTTTAGACTTTGGATCTCCCAAAATGTCAGAGAATAAGTGTGGGTGGCAGTCTGCCACATTTGTGATCATTTGTTACAGCAGCAGTAGGAAACTAATACAGATTTTGGCTTCATCAGGGCAGTGGACTTGACATTTGGAAGAGTTTGTCTTGGAGTCTTAGATTTCAGTGTTCCTGGAGATCTTTTACCAAGCCTCTGAGGAATTGCAAACACATCCTTCTACCTCACATCTACTGCTACTCAATCAGAATGTAGTCAGATTAGAGACCACTATGTCTAATGAGTCATTCGTGTATCCAACAAAAGGTTTGGAGGGTCTTATGTGACGCAGGGTTGCCATGCTGAGTCCAATAGAGCTGGCTGCTCCTCATGGTTCAACCTCCACCAAGGTGTGGGCTCTGCACCCCACTCAGTTCAAGTCCCAGCAAACCCACTCACAAGTGTGTGACTTTGGGCACCTTACTTGCCTTCTCTACTCCATAATTTTCTTACCCACAAAACAAGGATAATAAACTTTCCATTTGACAGGGCTTTCCTGAAAATCAAGTGAGAAAATCAGTTTGCCTTCCACACAGGATGTGCTCAATGGGAACCTTAGCTATCATTTCTCAGTGGTTTGATAGGTTGTGATCTATGTTTGATAGTCTTTTTGTGTCATATGACAGCCTCCCAGTCCATTTTTTTTTTTTTTTTGGTCTGATTCCTCTCAACATCCAGCCTAAATGAGCCCCAAGGGTGGGTGAGCCAGTTTCCCTGTCCTTCTAGGAAGACCGGGGCTCCAGGCCATTGTTGGGAGTCCTGTGGTCTTCAGAAGAGTGAACTCAATCAGTTGACCACTGAACATATGGAGTTTTCTGAGGGACCCCCAGCCTGCTTCAAG